TGATCACTGACCTCCAGCCTCCTCTTGTGCCTTCAGGCATCCGCATGTTGGATGGGGATGTCACAGATGTGGTCGAGGCAAAGTCTCTGGGCATCAGACCCAACTACATCGACATTTATAGCGCCAGCTGGGGGCCGGATGATGATGGGAAGACCGTGGATGGACCTGGCCGACTGGCTAAACAGGCTTTTGAGTACGGCATTAAAAAGGTGTGAGTAACCCAGGGCCATGGGGAGCTCTCTGGGGTGAGGGTGACAGTAAACATTTCTAACAACTAAATATGAGAGCAACACAGGCCACCACCATGGAAGAGGACAGGTAAGGCCCTGCTGTGCCAAGTATCAGGACAAGAGTTGGGAGGAGTCACTCAGGGAAGCAGTTATTTACCAAGGAAAGTAGGAGTGTTCAGCCTTTTCCCAGAACAAGGTCCTAGTGAGAGCTAGCAGGTCTTTCCTGTGCCCTGCCCTCTCTGCCTTGGAGTCTGCCTGATCCTGATGAAGGTGGGTGGGAGGGGTCCAAGTCAGGTCACCCAGCCTGTTACTTACCCAACCAGACTGTGCAGGTAGACAAGGGTCTCAGGCCTTAGCCCACCTGCCCACAGAAATTTCAGCCTTGGGGCTTTCTGCATCCATCCTGGGCTGTGTGCCAACCCAGCACCCACCTGTAGTAGCAAGCTGTGGTCTAGCCACCTGCATCTCACTGCAATCACACTGTCCACTATGTTTAGAATTTCCTGGGCAGAATCTTCACAGGGGTTCAGCACAGTGAAGATCTGAGAGGCTGGCTCTCTACTGACCAGCTAAGGGGGAGCCGGCAGTCTCCTCCTAGGAGGCCCACCTGCCAGCCACTGTGTAATCGTCTGTTCCGGGTCCTTATGGGTGAGAAAGGCTGAGAGACAGGAAAAGGGTGACTAGAGATGAAGCAGTTTTTACAGGGAAGGTGGCAAGGCAGATTTATGGATGAGCAGAACTTCTTGGAGCAGGTAGACTGACTTGTGGTCAGTATCCAGAAGGCCCTGGCCCAGGGTATAAGGTGTGGCCAGTGGCTTCTGGCAGGATGTTCAGAGGTGGCAGTCCTAGCAGTCAGTCTAGGCTACTCTGACTTCTCCTATGGGGGGCCAGACATGGGGAAGGTGGCAGAAGTTGAGCCTATTTTATTATTTAATGTCGTGTAAAACTGTTTTTCAAGTTCATATCTTACTGTAACCTATGACCAGTAATTAAAAATGTGGTTAATAGATAATATATCAATTGAATAGAACCAGAGGATTATGTTTAAAACTCTTTCTTTGTGTTCTTCTGACTGCCGCCCCCCCCCATGCAGCCCACACAGGAGAAATGTTTTTTAAAAAAATAATAATAATAACTCACCATTCCCCTTTTTCTGAATAATGTCATTTGATTGTTTCCCTGGGTACATTACTATGTGTGAATTTCCTCTTATGAGGGGATGAGTGTTTCTTTCTTAGATGGCCCCCACCTACCACCCAGCCCCTCTACTCTACTGAACACCTGCCTCTAGCCAGTTTCCTTACACTTGCTGGGCATCAAGTGCACCCTCCACCCTTGCCACTGGCCTGCACCTTCTAGTAGGCTTCCCCATAAATGTGAAATAGATCTCTACAGCCCTTACCTCCAGCTGCTCAGGGCTTATGCCTGGGAAATTAGTGACCAAATACAGGGGTGTCCATCCATGTGTCTCTCAGAGTTAGCACTTAATGTAAGAAGAGAAGCAAAGGAAGAGGGGTCTCGTGTGCATGCTTGGGATACTGGCCAGCTTTCTATTATTTCCAGGACTCCAGGAAGACTCAAAAACAGCTTCTGTTTAGGTCACTGAGCCCTGTAGCTGGGCTGAGCGGGCACCGGCTAACTCAGTCATGACAGAGCCAGCTGCTGCCTGCAAGGGCCATCTAATAAATAAATCACTTCTCTCCATTACTCAGCTCCCCACTCTGGCCCACTAGATCAGTCACTTGGATCTGAGTCTTGATGACAAGTGGAACATCCTCAAAATTAAGCTCAATTTAAGCTTCAGAGAAGGTGGCTCAGTCAGAGATGGCATGTTCTCCATGGACTGTTTTGCTTTGAACAGTGTTCATGCCAAATGTGTGTCATTTCTAGGAGGTGATTTCTAAAGACGTGAGATCTTAGAATGAGGCACCCTGTTTCCAAGAGAAGCAGTAGTTGTTTTGCAGTGGGCAGTTGTGCTCATGTGGATGGACCCCATGCAAGACTGCAAAGTTGGAGCCACAGGGAGGGGTCTTTGCATTCAATCCTGTAGCATCAACTTTATCAAGCTGTCAGGGGACTTGGGAAGTGGGACGGGAGGGTGGAAGGGTGGCCACATGGCTCCTCCTCATTCTTGTCATAGTTCTTGAAATACTGAGGTCATTTAATATCTTTTTTTAGTCATTTGGAATTAAAATACGTCACATGAGAGCCTTAAATTGCAGCTGTCTGAAGCTATCACTGAAAATTCTCAGAAACTTGATGATCTCAAACCAAACCACACTTCCCCATCTGTTTCTCATCCCTGCCACCCCATTTGTCACCCTGTAGTCATCCCCTATGAAATCTGACTTCATCTTTGTTAGATAGTGTGGCCTGGTGAGGGGAGGCTTTAGAAGCCATAATTTGGCACAGAGATCTATTTAATGTCAGTCCTTATGAAGCTGTTTAGCTTGTCATTCAGAAGAGGAGATTAAACATTGCTGTGGCAAAAAACCCTAGCCATGTCCAGATGGCTGGCATTTGCTGGCCCTCAGGAGCAGTCCTGAGCTCATGGATAAACTCCTGCACCCCAGGGAAGACACTGAAATATGATTGGATTGGGTTGAAATCATGGCTTTACTGAACAGAAATACAAATTCATGGCTGGGGTTGAAATGTCCCCTGTAGCTTTTGTCCTGTGATTTCCATCTGAAGCCATGAAAAGATCTGAAAAGTGAAAATGAAGTTCTCAGTAAACAGTTAAAACATCTCTTCACACCTCAGATCTGGGTCATTTTTTGCCTCATTCTTATGTCCTTGTTCCAGAAAACCATTTTAAGAAGAGAAAGAAGCTATTGACACCTCAGTGCCTTGTGAGAATGGAGAGTGGTCTGGTTGTAAACACAGTGTGTATAGGAAATGCAAACTGTCAGCATTCTAGGCCCCTGGTGTTCAAAGTGAGGTGTGGAACTAGCAACATTGGCATCCCTGTGAATGCATTAGGAATGTAGAATCCCAAGCATACCCCAGCCCTTCTGGGTCCACGCCTGCACTGTAACAGGGCTCCCAGGTGACCCAAGTATGTGCACATTCAGGTTTGGAGGGAAGGGGGTGGACACTGTTTTAGGCCATTCTCTATGCTCCTGGAGCAATAAGGTTGCACACTCTACTTTGAGAAATGACAACATTTGATAAATCATTTTGAGTGGGGTGGATTAAGAATGACAGTGGCTAGGGCAGATGGAACAAAGACAGGTTCTGATGGGCTAAATACCTTTTTATTGGGATTTTAGTTGCAGCTTCTGATGAATCTCTTCCTATAGGTAATTATGTGCATGGACCTACTCATTTCCTTCATACTTTGTGCCTTTCTAGAGAAGGTCAACTTTTTTGCTAAACATGAATGAGCTGTCCGTTGAGCTCGTAGCCCTTGGACTGGTTCACCCTGAAGATGCAGAAATCAGAGTGAGTGAGGCAGCAAGGCTGAGTGAGCACCAAGAACCCCCTGACAGGCACTACTGGGAGCCTTAGATTGGAACTGGAATGCCTTCATCTACAAAGTCCCTTGACATAGGCCTTACAGAGCAGGGGGTTTCCTCTAAGCAAGAGTGGACTTGAACTCTAAGACTAAGTGCAGCACATCCATTGAGCAGTAGGGCTTCACTTTGACTCTATGGGATTGTAGAATTTGGTTGAAAGTTATTAAATTGGCCAATTGTTGGGTGTAAGTATAAATTTCCTCTCTGTTTTTAGAAAAGAAGATCCCACTGGGGATCAGTATCCCCCTGGGTCCAGTTTTATGTAGGGATGGATGTTGGCACTGCTTTCAGGGTTGGCTGTCCACCACCAGCATGTCTAGCCATCTGGACTGAATTGGTCCATTCAGTGTTCCACTAGCTAATCTTTATCTAGTGTCTGTGGTTGGAGTGATGCTTGGTCAGAAATCAATGATCTTCTGGGTGTGGGACCAACCGGAACTCTAGCAGTGTGCTCTACTATGCCACTCTCAAAGCCTTGCTTCATGATATATCCTGGATGAGGAAAACCTGCACACACAAGTGAGGCCTCTGCTCTTGGCCGGCAATGATGATCTGCACCTCGAAGACTTACCCTACCCACAGTGGAGACCCAGAGAGCTCGAATGGGATATCCAACACTGCCCACCAGCTTCTTGGATCATGACTCTTTTCCCCTATTCTGTCTGCATCCAGAATTCATGCTCCCATCTCACTTTGCAAAATTAGCTTATCCTCTAAGAAGTGTACTTCTTCAGGAGCTTTTTTTTTTTTTTTTTAGGAAAACTCATTTTCTTCCCCACCAGACCAGCTAGCTCTTTCAATTCAGAAAAATTATAAATTCCACCATCATCTCTAATTTTAGTATTGCAATACTGCTAGGTCTCTGTGATCATAGACCATTATAATGAAAATTATTGGAATTACTCTGAAATAGAATAGCCCTGTTAGGAGCCTGGATTTTCCTGTGAAGAACAGAGGAGTCTTTCTGGACCCCCTGGCCCATATAATCCTGTAGTTTTAATGCTATTGTCAAAGGTAAAAGTGCTCTATTAAAATCAAAACAGAGCCTAAAAACCCTTGCCCTTGGTGGTATCCAGATGGTCTGAATATATACTTCTTAACCCCTGTGAAAGAACATTCAGGAAGAGGGGACCCCAGGCCAGTTGTTGGACTCCTCACTCCAGGAGGTTCTGGCTCCTGGGGCTGATACCTTCTTTTTGTTTCCCTCTAGGGTCGGCAGGGCCTGGGCTCCATTTTTGTTTGGGCATCTGGGAACGGCGGGAGAGAAGGGGACTACTGCTCATGCGACGGCTATACCAATAGCATCTACACCATCTCTGTGAGCAGCACCACTGAGAATGGCTACAAGCCCTGGTACCTGGAAGAATGTGCCTCTACCCTCACCACCACCTACAGCAGCGGGGCCTTTTATGAGAGGAAAATTGTAAGTTCTCTCAGCAAGTTCTCTGCTTGCCTCAGGGAATGAGTTCCTTTCCCCCTTAACAAAAAGATGAGTTAGTCAAGGCTAAATTGTTCTGGGTCCTAGAGTCCTAGCCTCGCCCAGCAAGAAACCATTTGAGCCTTCAGCCAAACCTTAGTCCCTTGGCAGTCTTCTTCAAGCCCTGCCTTTCTAATCTTTGCACAGAAATAGCAATTAAAATCCTCTCTGAGGATTTAGAGAGCTAAAAATAGCATTTAAGAATGGGGTTCATTCTCAACTTGTCTTGATTTAGCTCTCTGAAGTTCCGTGGTGGTCACATCATTTGGAATACAGTAGAGCAGTCCAGTTGCAATGCATGCAACAGAGTAAGAGAAAGTCTTGATTGCTCACAGAGACATTCCATAAATGCTGGTATTCTAGGCATTCTGTTGCTACAGAAGAACTTACTCTAGACCCTTCAAAGTTGAGCAGTGGTTTCTGTCTGTTCTGCTCACTTATGTGAACATTAAGTGTGATTTATCTTTTAAAGAATGACTGCTTTAGCAAACAGGTGGAATCTGTTTCTTCCTTCCCTACATACTTTCCTGCTTAGAAAAAAATAAGAGAAAGGAAGGGTTTCCAAATTAATGCAGAATTGAAATGTGCAGTCATTAAGCTGGCTTTTAGGCATTTAAAAAATGAAATTGGACCTGGCCAGACATGGTTAAATCTTAAAGTTCACTAGCATCTTTTCATTTCTCCTGATGCTTAGCTACCTCTTTAGAAATTATTTGCACATTTATTTTTATACTTTTCTGTGGGAGCATACAGGCTTCCTGTTCTCTGCTCTGCTCTGCGCTCACAAAAGGTCAGCCACCATCGTTCTGCCGCCAGCCTGGCAGAGGCCTGGGCTGGTTAACTAAGGTATTAATTTAAGTTGTTATTTTCATTTTCTGCTAGAGCATGTGCCCCTGGGACAGGCAACTGAGATTCTGAATGGTGTCCTGTTTGTGTAGGCATCCAGCTCATTTGAACACAGACTTGCTGGGGTCTTGTTAAATAGTACCTTGTGCTGAAGCCTGACAAAGGCTGTCGGCCGAGTGGGTGTGAGTCCAAGACATTGTACCATGGCTTGTGTGCAGGGAGGATGGCGTGGAAGCCAAACTTTCAGCTTTATTTGCTTAATGAATCATGCTAAGGCATGTGTTTATTTGTGCATGAGTGTGTGCATGCCTTCCTTAGCTACAAAATACTTTCATTCTCTTTTTATTAAAAAAAAAAATTCTCTTCTCCACTCAATGCATAGGTTAGAAGGGTATAGTTGGGGGAGGGGTAAAAAGAGAATAGAGATAGTCATGAGTGCTGTTCGGGAGGTCTGCTCTGACAGTATAGGTTACATTTTTTCCTGTGAGAGCCTAGTTTTTACTCTGAGTCTTAGGGGCTGAGCAGCTGTTCTGGACTGTTGGCCATCATGGTCTCAGAGTTCAGAAAGGTCTGTGATAGTAAACAAAGCTCTGTCTCCTTGT